AGCAGAAGGTGAACATTGGGACGAGAGTTGCAGGAATGAGCCCTATACTTGTTGGCACACATCAGCTTCATTTCCGGGGTTGTCGTTCACCGTGTGAAGTGGTTCCGACAATGACAGTAGCGGTTTTCCCCCGTGAAAATAGCCACGATAGTCATGGTATGCAAACCGAACGGAATGCTGTCAAAGGAGGTGCTTTTAGTTCATTTCCATTGATGAAAATATAGATCTGCTTTGCTGCAGGGTGTCGATCAATCACGGGATGAACCATGCAAAGGGTCGCCGGCACTCATCCTATCTGTACCATGGAAAGCGCGTTCAGCAATGGTTTCGGGGAGTGAGAGTCGACTCCATCAGATCTACGCATGAGCAGCTTGTTTCCGTGGCCTCTCGGAGAACGGGATGGAATTTCGCTGGTCTTGTTGCCGTCGTTGTTTGTCGACTCGACGGCGCACAAACGAGCCAAAATAGCGGCTCTCCGCGTTCATCATTGTGGTGAGATTCTCCCTTCCTACGAGCACAATCGGCAACGGCCCGAGCGGCTCTTATACACATACACCTGCAAAAGTGACAACATCATCTAAGCCGCTATATTTTTCTTGGCGAACACGTTTCATGTGACTTTCTCCTGCAGGGTCGACGGGAAAAGGAGGCCAAAAAAGCGCGATCGGCCGCGGAACGGCAGCACCGGTTGTCTCGCGAAAGTACGAGTGTCGGGGCTGAGGCGGTCAACACGTACGTGTGGTTTGGATGCGTACTCTAGACTAAGCTTTGGACTTGCTCGGAGGGGAAGAAATGGAAATGTTCTCTGGCGTGCTTATGTTGAGGTTGCGCTAAGATATGCATGAACCGTGTTCATTCCCCGAGTTTATTCCCCGAGTTTCCAGAATCTCAGACATGCCATGTGGTAAAAGCGAGTAGCCCGGCTAAAACCAATACAATTAGCCCTACACCATACCATTGTTTTCATTCGGCGGAATGAGCACACAGTTTTTTGGCTGGCTCAGCTCCTCTCGTAACCAAAATGTCTAGAGCTGGACCCGTGTCTGTCAGCAAAAGCGTTCTCCGGAACCAGCAGCGACAATTCCCAATGCATCCACAGCAGCCGTTGGTCGCTGTTGTCGAGATGCGGGTCTAATTGTGCCTGTAGTCAACTCTTTCTGATCGTTGCGGGCTGGGCTCGTTGTCGACATCATCAAGCATACCATATTTTCTCCCACCGCGTTACGGTGTTTTTCCTCTCTAAAATATTTTTTCTTGGTACGCTGCAATAGCGCAATCTTCAGCACACGGCGTTGAAAGCTCCTCGAAGCACTGCCACACCGGCGTGTGTTTACCATGGACACGTGTGTGCGTGCTTTCTTTCGCAGGAACAAACTCTCGAAGTGGTATGGTCGTGATAAACAGCGTAGTGATTCCTAAGACCAATCCCTCCTCTTCCAACACCGTACTCGGACGTGTGGAAGGCGCAAACCTTGAACGCGCCGCGGCTCCTCGCCCTACGTGTAGGTTACATTGACACGCTGCTTCAAGCGTTGTGGCAACCCTCCCCTTCTTTTAGCATCCACGCGTCCGGTGATGATACGGTGGTGATGTTTGCTCGATGTCTGACGCCTTGATGATAGCCGTAGCGACAACGCGTGACTATTTATGATCGATTCTGATTTCCCGAGTGAAGGCTCGTTATATACTTATATTGTTTGTCCACATGAATATCTGTTACACCCTGAACACCCGCGCGTACGCGATTGGCAGGGCGGTGGCGGCCCGGTTAGGTATCGACGTGTCGCACGTCATGTGCGTCGACTGCTTCTGCGTGTACGTCGAGAGCCGCGTCAGCGAGCGCATGCTGGTGACATCGCGGGACTTCGACGGCTACACGGTCGGCTGCCCCATGGGATGCGTCGACAGCTTTATCGACCCTTCGTGCTTCGAGGTAGGCTGGATGGACGCATGAATGATGGACACACGCTCACAACCGCCTGAGCTTCTAAGTTACCTAGGTGCTACCATCTGGTACGTAGGCTTGAAAGGTTGGGGTAATGCGGCAGATCCCTACCGCGGCGAAGCACGAGAAATAATGCACAGCCTTAAGTTACGGTTTGACATACCCTCGACCTCTCCCGGAACCCACGATTCCTCCTGGTTCTTCCGTTTCAACATACAACTTTGCTTCACCTTGTGTCTAGACCCCATCCTTAAGTGAAAAGCCCTGAAACACCCGCTTCTACCTGCCGCGTCTGGCTGAACCTCCCCCCGCTGTCCACGACTACTGTACTACCCCGTCCGCCCAACGCCGGGCAGGAGGTCATGGGCGCAGAGTTCATGGTCAAGTACCGCCGCTTCGCGGCCATCCACCTGGCGTCCCACCTGCGCGTCGTGTGGTGTCCAGGATGCCACTGCGGTGTCGTTCCCTCGGCGGCGGCCGCAGCCGCCGCAGGCGCGAGAAGGTCAAGCGTGAACCCTATGCCCGATCTCCAACAGGAACAGATGGCGGCGGCGCGCTCCGAGGTAAGCGGTCTGTGGGACCTGTGGGGGGGCGGGAGAGGGGCGGCGAGGTCGGGAGCAGAACGACAGGCGGAGGAGGAGGGAGGTGGGACGGCGGCGCGACACCGAGCGAGCTTTTGCATCGGATGTCCGGGCTGCCAGGCGTCCCTGTGTATGTTGTGCAGGGAGCTGCACGCTCCCGGTGTTAGCTGCGCCGACGCTGCTGCTGGTGCCGCTGTTGCTGAGGATAAGAACGACGAGGAGGGTGGGACTTGCGGCGGTGGGGGGGGGGGGGG